GGATCATCTAACTTTTTCACAAGTTTTGAATAAATTATACCACGTTTATAATTTGAATTTCCACAGCTCTCTTCTTTTGGATGATATATATAGACATGGTTAGTTTTTTTTTTTCAATAACATCCTACATATATTATTCTTTATGTTGGGTGATCGACATGCTTACGTTGTCTGTTATATAAACAGGAAATGCTATGAAACATTGATGCGTTGCGATTCTAATACATCAAGGCAGGGGGAATGTCTTGTTACACATTGACTTTCAAATGCAATACAACTACTTCACTATATCTACATGATGTACAGGAGAGCGCGAAGCAAAGATCGATGGCGATGACGATGAAACTTCACTATATCTCAACTTAATTGGAGGTTTCTCATGAGTTTAACTTGTGAGAGTAATTAACCGGGTGTTTTCTGACACCCTGAGAATCAGGAGAGCACAATCGTTTAAAGTCAGATCTACCTCGCCGGTGACCGTGGAGCACATCTAATTAACTAAGGATTTTGTATTTTATACTTTCTCAAGAATTATGATAAAATACATTTTCCTTTGTCTATTTTATTTATATACTTAGTACACTGGCACACCCACAAATGTTTTTTTTCTTCCCTAGGCAGAGAGACCAAAGTTTAATTTTCTCTCTAAACACCTGTTAATTAAAAAACTGACACCTATAATATATTATACGTCTTGATTTTTGAAAAACCAACACCCATAAAAACTGAGCTGAGCTAACCGTTCGTCCTTATCCTCTCGAACGAATAAGGGGAGGAGGGCTCGATCTCTCTCCCCGATCTCACACCTTTCTTTCTTGGTCTCTCTCTGTCGCGTGCCTCTCCCCACCCAACGGTGGCGATGACCCTCCCCACCCAGCTGTGGCACCCTCCCACCCAACGGTGGCAGGGGTGGTGCACTCCTCGATGTCGGGCCGTTCTTTGTATTCTTGGTGTTCTTAGTGTCGGGTTTTCTTAGTGTTTGATCCGATCTTATGTTCTTGGATGCTCTTGTATTCCTAATGTTCTTGGATTAAATGTTCTATGCAATTTGGTTGAAGTGAAGGGGAGCTGCCCGATGTATATACTCGATTCAAGCCGGCATTTTTTTTGCATTCAAGGAACCTCAAAGGTGCCGCTTGTTGGGTGCTGGTTGAGAAATTCGACACCTATGACCAGTTTCCAACCGACACCTAACCCCTTTTATGTAGTAGTGTACTAAACAAATCAATAATTTTTATCTTTTTACTACTTCTACTCCTCGTGTTAGTGCTTTCACTCATCTCTTTTCAGGATGCGTTGTTATCCCTCTTCTCTCCTGTCATATTCTTCCTAACAAATTTGTTTGCTGGAGTGTATGGAATGAGCAGCGTTGGGAAGCATGTAATAACTTCATGCTAGACTTGAGCGCAGCCCTGACTGTGCTTCGAATAGTACCTACAGCCTATAACGGTGGCCTTGTTGGCAAATCATGGTAACCACAGCAAGCGGGTGCATGGTGTGCGCAATGCAGAGTGAGAGTCTATCAAATAGTGGAATGTCACAATTCCATCAATAGCAGTGGCTAGCAACTTGTTTTGTAAGCGGTGTGTTTTTAGTATAGCGGAGAAAGCCGAAAATTGCTCCCAAAGTTCCCCTGTTCTTTCCACTTTGCTTTGTTAATTTTTTATTGAGAGCCATCGCAGTGCCATTATTTTCCAAAGTGGGTGAGTGATTGGTTGTGTAATTTTTATCACGACTGAGGATGATGTACATTCTTGTTGGTGTAGAGGTTGGTTTTTAAGTTAATCCTTTATCTGAAAAATGTGCTGGGAAGGAAGAAATTAATATCAAATGACATGTTCACACATACCATTTGAAGTTCTTTAACATGCATGGCGGCAGAAGCAAACAAAGAACAGCGGCAGAGGTTACATACTCTGCGTGTGTATTTTCTCGGTTATGCTTGTATTGGTTAATTATACAGAGGTGTCGAGTTTCTCTAGATGGTTGTATCACATTGGAAGAATTGTCTTCGTATCAATAAAGAGATCTTCTTCAATGCTTGGAATTAATTAAGACCCTTGATCAGCAATGATCTAACGGACAGAGAGAAGGTACCTGAAAAAAGATATTTAAAGGGTGGGCCAGGTATGAAAGGTGGAAAGGTAAAATAGTAATTAGTTTTCATTCAATTATTTTTCGCTAAAGGGCAAAAGCGATAGAAGCTACAAACGTTTCAGCAGGAGGAAGAAAAAAACGAGAGGAACCTACATGAACTACCTGCTGGTCGTCGCTGCCATAGAAGCCCGCCGCTCGCCGAGGGCGCACACGCCTGCCGCTCGCCGCCGCCGTACACGCCCTCCGGTCGTAGCATACGAAGGTAGCAGCCGGATACCACCGCCGCACGCGCCCGTAGCGCCCGCCAGTCGCAGCTGAGGTACGCAGCAGCAGGTCGCCGTCACCGCTGGCGCACGAATCCTCGGGCTGATGTCTGCTCTGCTAGTTCCTTGCTCGTTCTTTGTCGTCAGGCCTTCATATTCCAGGTTCTGAAGATCAATTTTGCCAGCAAAAACAAATCAACAATGCCCTGCGCTGTGCATCCGATCCCCTGTTGGTTTCTGCGCCTAATTTGGCTATTTGATCACTACGTACATATTCTGAAGATCGATTGAGGTGAGCCACTCGCCATCTGCATGACATCGTGGATGGCCGATTTGTTAGGCACTCGAAGGGATGGGAATTAAGCAATTACTAAGCTACCATTGTTAATAAAAATTTTTGTTCCTAAATTACCCTTTGAAGATTAACAGTGGATAACAATTCGTTAAGGATGTACCTGGGTACCTTCCAAGCACCGTAAAAGACCTCATCAATAAAAGCTCTCTTTCAGTACAATCTGGAGGTAAGCGTATGGGAGAATACTAGCCTTGATCTCTTTGCCCAAATGTTGTCTGCAAACGAACTGTTAACACATTTACAACATTTCAATAAAATAAACTATATCCAACACTAAAACTGCTATCAGAGCCATCTCTGAAAGCTCAAAAATTTAATAGCTGTTTCAAAAGCCATACATTGGAGCTACTGTGAACGACATTACTGAAACTAGAATTTCAGTCTTGGAGGTACGTGGTCTACTATTTCAATATTGAAAGTACGTGGCCAGAGGTGGGCAATGCCAACAAGTGCAAGGGCACGCTACATGCAATAATTATATGAAAGAACTACTATTTGGGCCATGTTATATTAGGTCTTGTTTAGATAAAAAATTTTAGCTAAAAACGTCACATCAAATGTTTATACACATGTATGAGGCATTAAATGTGGGAAAAAAATCAATTACACAGTTTGTTTGTAAATTGCGAGACGAATCTTTTGAACCTAATTACACCGTAATTTGACAATGTGATGCTACAGTAAATATTTACGAATGACGGATTAATTAGGCTTAATAAATTTGTGTCGCAGTTTACAGGCGGAATCTGTAATTTGTTTTGTTAATACTTCAAATGTGCGTCTGTATACTTCAAAATTTTACACCTAAAGAACTAAACACACGATTATCCAAGTTTTACTTTGAATCACACTTAAACCAATCTTTTCACTTCGGAACAGGTAACGTTTTGATTTTCAATTTGGACCACCATTAAAAACTCTTTCTAAACCCATCAACATCCGTGACTAAATCGGTCTCGGTACACCAGTGATCTTCCCTACCTATCTATATGCAGGTTATATCTTCACTAGAATGGAGAATATATAGACATAAATAGTACAGAGAGTAAGGGGTCCAAACCCAAAAATTGAAAACTTCCCCAGTTCCAAAATAAAAAGATTAGTTTAAGGGTGGTCCAAAATACAACTTTGATAATAAAAGATGGTCCAAATTACAATTTAATCTAATCTATAATTTCTATAAAGTTATAACCCAATAAGTCTAAAACTCAACATGCAACCATGCCACATCATCATCCACTAGCAATAATTACATATTTAATTTCATGCAAGTATAAGTAATAACATCATCAATAATTTATTTAATTCTACAAATCAATATATACAAGCATATCCAATCATCACCCCTCACATCATTTGCATAATATTTTAACAAATCTATCTATTATTTTTATAATATTTAACATATACTTACGGTCGCGCTACATGATGCGACACACAGGCGCTACGCGCTAGGAAATAAAGTAGCGCGACTCACAGCAGCGGCCCCGTCCACTTTTTCCCTTTTTTGGGCGCTCCCACCATCCTACTTTCCTTTTCCTTTTTTCACGCTTCTGGATGTTCCCTTATTTTTTCACGAATGCTTCTCCCACCCGGATTCTTAAGTACGAGTAAAAAAAATCCCACCACTCCTTTAGGCTGAGTAAAAAAATTACCCGCTATATTGCTCTGAGTAAACAAATTACGGAGTGCATTATCTGTTTAGCAATAATTAAACGCTATGTTGAAGAAAAAATTAACTCTCATTTAAAATGTACTTAAAATATTCCCTTCGCTAGCCAACTGACGGTATGAACATACCAGTATAGCGAATTAAAGAGTCAACGTTTAACTTGGATAAAGTTTGATGGTGATTTCTGATGTCAATGTTATTGAGTAAAATTTGAACTTTAAATCAAGAATTATCGTTTATCTCGAATGCAATAGATGAAGTTTTTAGTTTGATCCACAGTAAATTTATTTCCTTGAAGTTTATTTACACTGAGTAAAGAAATTACTATGCCCTAATTTGTACTTCGAGTAAAAATATTACTACCTCATTTATAATTTCCTTGCACACAAAGTAAAAACATTTTTCTCATCACTTTTGGAGTGTTAGTAGTAAAATTTTAACTCAAAATATTTTTATCACTTTTTGGTGTGTTCGTAGTAATATTTTTACTCATATCTATTTACGGTGCATACATCACAGACAATCAAGATTATTCAATCATGCAAATCAATCATATTGTACACATCAAAAGAACGCAAGAAAGTAGACAAGAAATACAAACTGGGAGAGAGGATAATGAATCGTTGTACGGATATAAAATTTACACATCAAACGAACCCAAAATATATATATGCAGGAAAACATTCTTTGAACATTGGAGGAACAGCGGCCTACTGCTCTCTCGGCGAGGTCGCCGCCGGTCTTGAGATGGTGCTGAAAGGGCGAGCACAAAAATGAAGTGCTTACAAGCCCGACAAGTAGAAAGCAGGAACATAGGAGAGCAAGGCTGACAATCACAAAATGATGGAGAAGCCTCGCCGGGAGAATTGAAGCCTGCCTTCGACAGCGACGCCCGCCGATTCTGGCATCCGGCCAGGCGGCAGCGGAGGTGAAGCCGTGGGCAGCCTCCTTGCGTGCAGCCATGGTAGATTCTTGGAGGAAGTGGTCATGCTGGGGTGATGACGGGGCATGCGCCCATGGCTTCACCACCATGGTAGATCCTCCGCCAGATGCGGGGTGATGGACTCCACTACGGGCACCTGAAACCGGTACCCACGCCGCCGCCTCGCATCATGGTCACCGACGACGCTCTCCACATGGCTGACTTTGGATGCCTGCAATGTACAACAAGAGCAACGAACAAAATGTAAGAAGATGCAAACCTGTTTTTTCCCTGGTGTGCAGAAATAACAAATTGGAAGAGAACGAAAGGAATAATCCATCCGTGAAGTACACATACGGATCAAAGAAATAAATCCTTCCTCCCCGTCAGATCCATCCCATCTTGCTGCTCCAGCATGGCGGGCAACCAATGGTGGAAAAACAGCGGCGGATGCAGGCCCAAAGGCCCTCTATCGCCATGGGAGCCCCGCAGATCGAGCCGCTGGTAGGTGAGTGTTGGTCGGAGGAAGCCGAGGTAGCAGTGGAGGTGGCGGCGGCCTAGGAGCCGAAGGGAGTCGGGGGTGCCGCGACGGGGACCGCGGCGGCGCAGTCCCATGACGACGAGCCTGAGGATGGGGAGGGCACCAGTGACGAGATCCCCTAGCGAGGCCGGAGGAGGAAGCCGGGCGGTAGGAGGCCCGGCGACGGCAGTGGACCTCGATGAGGGTGACGAGGATGTCGACGAAGAACAACGATGACGACGCAACGACGACATGATCTACCGCCCACCTCTTCCTAGCCCGTCGCTTTGGCCATCGGAGCGAGGCGCCGTGGCCAGTCGGAGTCCGCCGCCATCGATGGATCTGAGAGGCTCATCCGCTGCTGACTGGAATTTGACGATGTTTTTCTAGATCCCGAAAAAACGGAGTGAGGAAGGGATGAATGGTTAGATACGGAGCGGTGATTTGTTACTGACGCTATAAATACTCATAGTTAGTGTGGTAAAGAAAATTACTATCGCGTTGCATCTACGTGGCCGCGAGTAGTAATAAATTTTATGGCATAAACAAATCGAGTAAAAAAACTCTAAAATAAATATCACACTGTTTATAATAAGTTAACTGTAAATGAAAGTGATTATATGGTGGGCTATCTAGTGGATGTGTAAATAGTAAAAGTTTGACTACCGGAATCATTGGTGGTGCGGGGTTACGCTGTGGGTGGGACGTGAGGTCTGTATCACGCCTCGTTTAATACGCAGCACCTTAAGGTGCTGTATAGTAGTTCTACATATACTTATGAATATGTTTCACATTAAAGCGTGGGTATCATTTGTTTGTTTAATGATAAATACTAATCAACTCTGATGTTTAATTATTTATTCCTTTTTATTCTAGCTTGATTATTGGAAAAGTATATTGAGAATTGCTTAGTAATTCCCACAGCAAAACGCGGGGAATCACCTAGTAATACATGTACAGAACCACCAATCCTATATATTGACCCCCTCCCTGGTTCATTTAAAACCGGTTCCAAAAGTAGTGTGAGACTTGACTCACGATAAAAACCAACAGTTCTACCACTGCAGAATCCTCTCGTGTGACTTTCATTTCCAACTTGTTCTAGTTGTTGCCTCTCTCTGTATATACACCACTTAGTAAGGACTACTACAATGGTAGAAGGCCAACCATGTCCAGTAAAGCCATTCTTGTCCACAACACTACAACTGTTGACACCTATATATTCCTTGATCATCAAGTAATATTACTTTACTTAAACACCGTGGGAATGGGGGAAGATTAGCTTGCCACCTCATCAATATTTTTAGAAATACCCCTCAACTTTGGTTAATTGCGTTCCGGTTCAGGCTATTGAGGTCCGTTCAATCACGCGCGAAGGAAGATCTAGCCATCCATGTGTCCCAGCGTGGCTGCTCTTCCACCATCGTGAGATCGTTGGATCAGGAACGGACGGCCTGGATTTGCCAAGAACCCTAGCCACCTCAGTCTCCTGCCCTCGACCTCGCGCGGCTCTCTTCACGCCCACGCCGCCTCGCCCTCCTCCCTCGCCCGCCCTCCTCGCCCTCCTCTCCTCACGCGTGTCACCTCCTCACCCTCCTCTCGCCGCTGTTGCACCGCCCCCGCCTCTCTCCCCAGTCAGGCCACTTCATTTACCAGCGAGAAGACTAGGGGCGTCGAATCCGATGACCCCCTCCTCTCCGCAGGCGATTCCGGCCGCCCGGACGAAAGGGTCATGAGTCACCACCACCATCTTCTCCACCCTGCTTGGTGTAGTGCCAGATCCGCTGGCAGGCCATCGATCTGGCGCTTCGTCTCTCCCCGGTGGATCTGGCCGCTCAGAGCCTCGCCAGCACCGAGGACAGCGAGCTCGCGCGGCGGCTCAGGGGCCCCGCCGTGGCCGTGGGGAAGCGCCTCAGTTTCATGAATGAGTACCTCGCCGAGGACCGTGACCCTTTCAGGTGCTGGGTCGTCACCGCCGCCGTCGCGTTCGTCACGTTCATCGGTAATCCCCCGCTGATCTCTCATCCCCCCCCCCCCGCCGATCTTCTCTGCCTTGCGTGCGAGTGAGGCTCTGACTACGCCTCAGCGTGCAGGTTTGGTTTATGCCGTCATGCATCACGATGTATGATATGAGCGTGCACGGTTAGTGTTCAGTCATTAGAGGGGATGGATCTAACTAACCGTTTGGTGCTCTTTTTTTCCCTTGAAATTTTGTTTGGATTTAGAATCAATCTGTCTCTTTATGCGGCATTTCTTGTAACAGCCCTAGCACAATTACCAGGTATTTGGAAGTGCACTATTGTCTTTTAGGTTGCATAATTAATATTTTTGCATTAGCCTCCGTATTCAATTATTTATTTTTTTTTCTTGAGCAAATTAAAACCGTAATCGGCAAATCAAAGCATCATCTACTTGTGCTCTATGTTAAACATAAGGGTATAGCTATTCATAATTTATTCAAATACTAGATTATTTATCATGAGTTAATATATTTTTTCTAGAATTTTTGCACTTAATTTTGACCTCATTAAAATTCAATATAATTCTCAGCATACCCCTTTTCATCTTTTTGCCTGAATTAAAATATTTTGAAATTTTGAGTGAAACTTTGAAAAATGGAAACTAGGCATCTCAATCTATCTCCACACCAGAATATACATTTTTGACTCTCTTTTAGCTAGGACAAACTAGTTACTCAAGAACGAGAGAGAAAATTCCTGAAAATTTACTGTTTTCAATGTGTCTGGCCTCTATCTGTCCCGTGGGCCCAGCTCAACTTGGTCCCACCTGTCACTGACTTAGGCTCTCCACCAAGCCCCACCCACGCTCCAGGTCGTGCAGCCCACCTCAGGTCCATAAGACAAGCAGGAAACCCTTTCATCTTCTTCCCCTTTCTTTCTCTGTTCTTTTCTTTCTTGCAAGCTGAGCTCCCAGCTCACTTCTTCCCATCAAAACTCCTCCAAACACTTGAGATCCATCCCTGCATGTCACACCACAGCAATCTCAAGTATCCAAGCCTCCCATCCATCCAAATATCTTCCACATGCATGGGTTCGTGAGGGAGATCAGGAAGAAAATAGGTGGAACTTGCTGCTGGTTTCAGCAGCAAAACAACCCTGTTTTTCCTCCACTTGGTGAGTTCCCTTACTATCCATGGTGTCCCTCTTGTGTGTGCCATTATGTTGAGCCTCCATAGCTCTCTCCGCAGGTCGTTGATGCAAGGTTTTAGAACAAGGAACAGCTGCAACTCGTATCTCTCCATTCCGGCGATTACAACCCCTATCTCTCTCGGTTTACTCAGGTTGCTATCACCATTTTTTTTTTCGTCATCGATTTGTACTTGTTCTATGGTTAGTTTGTGCTCCAACCTTCGCAACCTCAGTGCCACACCACCTGCATTGTAAAGTGTATGCATGCATGTATTGAAGCAGCAACCGTTGGACGACCTTTAGGAGTTGCCATTGGAAAGCAAGTTGCTGTCTTTGAGCTTCTTAGTTCTTAGGCTAGCTAGAAACTTCATGTTGTGACTTATTCCCTCGCTGAACTATCCAACACCTCGTATAAGTTGTGTTCACAAACCAATAGCTGAGTTAAATCATGCCTTCCTCATATTCGTCAATCACAGAGCATTTGGGAAGTAAACCTTGGAAACAAATCTTATGCAGTGCTGCAAGCAGCAGTTTTCTTTTCCTCACTCTCTAGATTTCTTAAATACCTACTAACTTATTCAAACACCAAATTAAATAATCCAAATACTTCTCTTATAACCAGTAAGTTATACTCTAGTACGGTACAAGTTGCACTCATGAAAATTTACTAGATTATGTGGGGATCACCAAATGATCTATAGTTTATATTCAGTTTTAGCATAGTGCCATTTTCAGTGTATATGGCTTGTTATTTTTATATCTCTCAAACCATAAATGTAAATGAGATGATTCCTATTTCTAAAATCTGTTCATCATACTCTCTACCTACTGTAATTAGGCCATGTTTTACTGAGCATATTGCATATGCATTTTTATTTGAATCTTATTCGCATATTGCTTCTTTTCGATAGATTCGGAGATTCCGGAGAGCGCTGAAGCGGACCCAGAGCCTGAGTGTGACTACCCTCAGCGGGAAGGCGAGCACCTAAGCATCTAGCACCCATGTTTTACTTAAATTCTTTTGGTTGCGAATCTATCTATCTATATATATATATATATATATATATATATATATATATATATATATATATATATATATATATATATATATATATATAATTGGTGCACTTACCTTAGTTATATATAGCTGCCATATACCTATTACTCTCCTGGTTGGGAATAGTTGGGATGTTTTATTCATTATGCTTAGTTTTGCTTAGTGGGGATACAACTATATGGCTGGACAGTTTTGTTAATTCTGGGATATGGACAACTTGGTTAATAGGCTAAAACTGAAGCACTTACATTAAATAATGGTTGATGAAATATGATTGACTTGGACGGGTGGTAGGGCGATGATGGGAGGTATGTTTCCCCTGATGCAGTAGCTCCGTCTGGGTCGTTAAGGACTGAACATTTTGACGTCTATTCAAGCACCCTACGTACTTACCACATACGTCTATTCAAGCACCCTACGTACTTACCACATGCCGTATCATGGGACCGGCTTGTTTGATTACTAGACCTACTGTGATCATTTACGCCCATCGGAGAAACGTGAGGATTTGGGATCCGCGGAATGCCCGATTGGCCGAGGTATGGCAGGGGGTATCTCCCGCGTGGTGAGCCTGCCTTAGTCACATCATACGCACGTGACTGAGTCGTCGGGGGCCCCGGTGTGGTTTAAATGGTTGGGGTGGGGCTAGGAAAGGACATGTGATGAGCTTGAATCACTTGTAGGTCGCACCTGTGTGGTGGACAGCATTTGATCCTTGTTCATCTCGTGTGGGTACAGTTGTACACCTCTGATCAGAGTATAATCTATTCGAATAGCCGTATCCACGGTTATGGACAATGCTTGATGTTTGCCTCAGTTATGTTAGCATCAAACTTGGGTTATTATGGTGGGTTTATGTTTGATGGTGATGTTGGCAGGTTGTGCCATGATGATATGGACTCTGGTAGTTCCATGGTGGATGTTGTGAGCGCCGTTTGGGCTCATTTACTTGTACCTTTCAGATTAATTTGATTGCTGTCCAGAATTTTATAATGTTGCTAATCAGTTTATTGTGTTATCGCTTCCACTTATATCTGCTCAATAAAATTGGCTTTATGCAAATGTTGAACTTAGGTTGCTCTAGGTTAAGGTAAACCTGCATACTTCTCTCTCCCCTTATATATATATATATATATTTTTTGGGTAAGACTCGTGAGTACAATCTTGTACTTAACCCGGCTCCGCTGCTTTCAAGTGAGGACTCCGGCGTAGAGTTGTGCTTCCTGTGTGGTCACTGTTCTGCCGGGGGCGGCGAGGGCAGTGAATGATCTTCTGCTGCCTTCAGCTTGGCTTTTGCCCGGTTGGTTTGCCCTTGTGGGGTTGTGGCACCACCGGTTTTTGTTTTGTGCTTCTGGCTTTTGTTTGAATCTTCCGCTGCTACTTGTGTGCTGTTAGATGGGACCTCGGACCCTATTCTGTACCAGATACTTGCTGTACTTAACCTCTTTTTATGCACTTGTGATGATGTTCCAATTCCCTGCGATGAATGTGCGAGGCTAGTCGCATTCCTGGGGACTAGCTGAGCATGAGTAATGGGTTTTGATCGCTTGAGATAATTGGGGATAGCGCTTTGGATCGAGGCACTGGGGTATGCCTTGTTTTCTAGTCGCCGCCTTCGTGTGGTTGACGGGCATATGACGGAGTAGCCTGGCAAGTTATCTTATGGTTATCTCTTGCGATCACTACTCGGCATTCCGATTATTATAGCAAAAGGTGTCAACCGTGATCATGGACACATTGAGGACGAGTGGCTTTTATGCGTGTTTGGATCCCACTCCTCCAACAGTATGTGGTGGTCGCGTTGGACACTGGATGATATAATACTCGGGGTGTCCACATTTCTACTGTGAACGTTACTCCAGATATATATTGGTTAAAGTGAGTAATTATTTCAAGGAGATTTTTTTTTTGGATTGTGGGATCCATGCCTAGTGCGCTTGTGTTTATGCCTTCATGGCCATGGGGTACAATGCATAGTGGCCTACGGGCAGTTTGAAATTCATGACAGGTCAACCTAATGTCTAATATTGTGGTCATTTGGTCAGTCAATTGTTTTACTATTGAGTCAAGCTAGCTGCTTTTTTTTTTTTTGCTGTATTGATATTACTATTTTGCTGCCAACAGATTGCTTGCCAAGTGGATTCTTTTTGCCCTCTTATTTTTAAGTTTCATGGCACTTGGTTGCTTATATGCGAACTTGATGCATGCTAGCATGTAGAATTTCTACCCAGAAGTGCTCCCTTACCCTCTTTTTACATGCTACACATTGTACAATCATTTTGTCAATGCACTATGGACTTCAATTGATTTGTAAAAAATGCGAAATCCAAGTAACGAAATTTCTTAATGTAGGGATCAATTTTTTTATCGCTTGATTAACAGGAATATTTTGTATGCAGTATTAGGTGTAGGGAGTGTTGATGATACCCCAGTAGAACTACCAAAGAAACTCTACATAGGTCCCCCAAGTGCCAAAACAATTCAACTTCCTGATGGAAGGCATCTGGCTTATAAAGAACAAGGAGTCACAGCTGACAGGGCAAGATTTTCGCTGATTGCTCCTCCTTCTTTTCTTTCGTCGAGATTAGCAAGTAAGACCAAATGTTGCATTGTTTGTTTTAACGTATCATCACAGCATGACATCATTACATATTTGATCTACATGGTTTCTTCGTGTACAGGAATCCCAGGAATCAAACCATCCCTCCTGGAGGAATTTGGGGCACTACTTGTGATCATTAATTAACACTGTAAAAGGAACACTATGAAAAATATGGGTAAATCATCTACTATCCAGGCTTTCTTATGATCTCATAGTACCTCCCCATTTTTTTTCTGTCAGCTCTAGTGTGTACATCTGTTGTTTATGCTCGCATCATCATCTCCTCTGAGGCATCTAGAGGGTTGGCATGCCAAAAATAATTCAAACTGCTTGAGTTCATATAATTCACTGTGCCTTCTAAAATAGAAGAATAACCTTTATATTTAGCTTTTGGGATAGCCAGCTAGGTAGCACCTAGGTCTATGGGTGGTTTGAAATACATTCCCAAAGAAAAAGCATTTTTAGCACTACAATTTAGGTGCCTTCATGAAAAAAGTCTCATCTGATCTGTACAATCTACAGGCCTAAACTCTTAAAAAGCATTAATGATTTACAATTACTACTGTCACACGTGACTATCCATTGTTTCTAGCTTCAGTTTTGCCTATTTTTATCTATGTGAGGTTCAGCAGCATGTAAGGAGACTTGGCACAACTATTACTGGTGTGTTAAGTCGGATTGCATTATATTTGAATCTCACAAAAAACATTCACTACAAGAAATCTATTTAATCTATGACAAAAACAAATCGTCATGGATCACTGAAAATTCGTCACAGGAATTTGTCTATGACGATTATACTAATCGTCATCTATTGAGCATCACAGATTAAATCTACCGACGTTTTCTTCGATATCTTCACGGATCAGCACGATCTATGACGTTTTTTAACCGTCATAAAACGCTTATGGGCTCATGTAGTCCAGCCAGGCCCAACCTTTATGATAAAATTAAACGTCACAGATGGTTGCTACGTGGTGGCCAACATGGTATGTTACATGGTCGTTTTGACACGTGTGATGATGTGGCAGCTGACGTCAACAATTTTTTTATACGGCCCATTATTTTCTTAACAGCCCATTATTTTTTTATGGCCCATTAATTTTTTTAACTGGCCCAATTTAAAATAGACCCATTTCAAAACTGGCCCATTTTGTGAACTAACTATCAGATCAATGCCCACTAAACAGGCCCATTAAATTTGAGCCCACCAAATGCAATCCAATTTCTCATACCATTTCATATGCATACCTAATTACAGATACCATCTCAGATTCAACTAATAACAGATAAAATCAGAATACAACAGAATTCAAACAATAGTTCATCTTAGATTCAACCTAATAACAGTCTCAGATACTTCCAGTATCAAACAATAGTTCAACAGCAAGCAACAAAAATTTGTGTAGCAGAACCAAGCTACCAACTTGTCCAAGAATCACACAACATTCAAGTATACCCAATTTTGGTTCAACAAACTGGTGAAAACACTTGCAGCACCACAAAAATCAGCAGCAAAAAATTGCTGAACCAAAAAATCAGCAGCAAAAAAGTTGCTGGTCCAAGTTCAGGTTCCCCCCACCAGCAGGACCTGCAGCACCTGAAACGTGTTGTTTGATTCCAGAAGCAAAGGCAGCAAAAGTTGAAAAACACCTTGCAACACCAAAATACCAAAAACAAATTAAGCCACTATCAGTGAGGCACTCCAAAACCAAAACAACATATAAGCTGCAACATGAAAAGATTTGTTTCAGCAATATCTAACATACCATCATGTCTATCAGCTTACTCCATTTTGACCAAGAACAACCTCAAGTTTAGCCTCCAACTCAAGTTTAGAAATAATGGATGTTGGCACTGCCATCATTTTCAGAAAGAAGATAACTACTATCTAACTCTGGTTACCTTACAAAAACACAATCCAATTATTCCTTGAATCCTAAACCTACAGCAGGACACTACTATTAATTTGTAGTAGCAATCAATAGTACTTTCTTCACTGGAAATTATGCATAGTCTCATATGGATTACGGATATTTATTCAACTGAAAACATGGTACAAAAAACATTCTAGAACCTAGGTCCACAGTCAAACTGAATTGTTGTAACGAAAAAGGGAACATAATTGGAGAGCTGCACGTTACATGTTACAATAGCTAAAATAACTGAATCTAGAATCTCTGAAGCAAAGCTCTGCTTTGGACTTTTTTATAGCTTCATTTCACAGAAGAAGCATACAACAGATCAGGATGGAGAGCAAAGCCCATTAAAGAATTGGAAGCCAAAAAAAAAGGTGTAGATCGCGTCAAGGAGAAACACAAAACAGAGGTGAAGGGGACTCACACCTGCAAATGGGAAGCCCCTAGTGCTTTAACTTGAAAATTGTCATAATGCCTTCTCAATTAAGTTTAAACAAAGAGGACAATTCTATATATTTGCTAGGAACTATGAGGAAAAAATATGGTCACCCTCCAAAGTATGCACATATATATTACTAAATTAAAGAAATCTTTTCTTCAGAAAAATCATTACTTTGGGCTATAGCCTCCATCTGACTAACAATTTTTCCTTTCCAAATAAACAGATTCCTCATAAACTTACATTTTTGTTCTGGACCAAATTGCTAGACTTTCATCAGCAAGCTAGCAATTAAAGGCCTTGTTGACCATGCAGAAAAGGAATGATCGATTCCCTGAGCTCATGACCAAAAATAAAACATGCATGCATACAAAAGAAATGGCAAGTGTCAATCTTAAGTATAATGAACACCCTATCTTTACAATATTTTTTTGCATATGTTTTAGTCCCCTATCTTTACAATATTTTTTGCATATGTTTTTATGGATACCCTAATATTTATACCATGGATGGCTTGAAAAAAAAAAAAAACAGATCCACCATCATCCAGCACTTTTTTCACTTGGTAATAAGGCCATGATTGGCATTCAGCAATGCCAATAGACAGGTATGCCAAACAATTGCATGGTTGTTGTCTGAACTGACTGAACAGCAACTAGTGCGGTCGTGGTGAAATGTAGTCTGCTAAACCATAGTACTGAACAGAATATAACTTAACTTGTGGAATGTAGTCCCAGTAAAGGATTCTACCAGGAAATCAAATCATGCAAGGACAATAATTGATATAATAGTTCTTACTTCTTTCAGTAGGGAGGAATCAGACCATCGCTGATGCTCGCAATCAGAACCTGAATCAGCAACCACAAGCACATCGGTCGTATATGAAGTATTGCAGAAATCATCAGGTAATTCTTTCAAGCATATATCCTCCATGCTTGCATTTTTCTTGGATCGTGAACGCGGGAAAGTGGGCAGCTCAGGGACTAGCCCTGCTTCTTCACCACTGGACATCAAGCAAAATAGAAGGTTTTCTGAGATTGACGGGAAAACTAGGCACAATAAAATAAATTTGTGCTATTTGACTATTTCTCCTACATTACAAGCCATCAGTTGTCACGCACATAAAGAACGGTAAGCATCTAATAAATCAAATCGAATGTTTAAACTAACCACTGGGCTTTGGACTATGCTACAAATCTATAAGGTTCAAATCCTGTTAATACGAATATAGGGGAAGACCCCAAGAGTACTAAAAGCCTATACCATTATATGCCCCCTTTCGACACATAGCATGACTGATTTATTGCAGCAAATCAATGAACATGGAAATCACAAAACCACTCTGAATGTAACTCCTAGTTCCGAATTAACATTTCCTCCAAAGAAAAAAAATTACACAATCCCAATTCATCGTTGTTCATATCCATCTGAAACAATTACCAATAGTCGAAGTGTCGAACATGTATGGTCGCATCGCAACAAGCAGAAGAAACCAGGTACCTTTCCAACATGTAGGGTTTCTTGGGGAGGCGCCTCCCCTCCTTGAGGCAGTCCTCGAACCACCGTTGGCTGACGACGAGCGTCCGAAGCCTCCGCGCTAGGAGGCGGTCGTGAGCGGCGAGGAGGTGGTGCGGGGCGTCGACGGTCGAGGGCGGCGAGGAGGCCCCCGCGCCGGCGCGCCCCCGCGGCCCCGCGGCCCCGCGCCACCTGCCCGCCCCGCGATTGCAAGCCGCCGACCTGCCGCTGGTCATCGTCATTGTCGTCGTCGCAGCTATCGGCGCCGTCGTCGTCGTTGCAGCCACCGGCGCCGTCGTCGCCGTAGCCTCCGCCGCCGCCGTAGCTGCTCGCTCCCGCCTGCCTAAGCACACCGCCGCCGCTCCGGAGGGCGGATCCGCGTGCTCCAGGCCGTTCCCGAGGACGGAGGCCGCTGGATTCATGCGCCGCCATCGTTACCGAGGACGGGAGGCGGCGGATCCGCGCTCCACTGTCCTTCCCTGGCTGGGGGAGTGAGGCTGGGAAGGGCGAAGAGGTGGCTGGGGGCGGAGATGGAGGCAGCGCGGTGGATGGTGGCGGTGGGGGAATGGATGGTGGCGGCGGCGGCATATGGATTTAGGGTGCGTTCGTTCTGGGGGATTGGGTGAGAAAGGGACATCGTGTTCCGTGCGCACGCTTCCCAAACTACTAAACGGTGTATTTTTAAAAAAATTTTCTATAGGAAAGTTGCTTTAAAAAATCATATTAATCTATTTTTAAAATTTAAAATAGTTAATAATTAATTAATCATACGCTAATGGCTCACCTCGTTTTACGTATCTTCCCAATCTTCTCTATCCCCTCTCCTCAAACTCACCCTTAGTTTAGGCTAGGGTTTGGGAACAGCTTATATGCATTAGAAGCAATCCGACGTGAATTTACCAAACTGACCCTGGTGTGTTCAAAGTAGTACGTACAAAATTGTATGAACAAAATGGACATTTAACCTTAAATTCATGAGAACTTTAAATTTAATTTTAGGCTGATTTTTATGTTTCAAATGCAAAAGTCATACAAAATAAAATTGTAGATCTACAGGTCCTTTTTACAATTAAGTTCATTTGAACAATTCAAATTTTAAATTTTTAAAATTTGATAACTTCGAACAAAAATTAGGGTTAATAAATGATTTCAAAAGGAAAAGTTACCAAAACCAAAGTTGTACAACTCATCGAGATACAAAATTTTTATTTTAGTCATTTCTCAATATGAAATTTGAAATTTGAAATTCAAAGTTTGAGAACTTCAAATAGAATTTTCTATCAGTGAACGACTTCAACTGAAAAATTCATCAACATCAAAGTTGTATAACTCATCAATATCTATAACTTTTATTTGAGTCATTTCTTTATCCGATAAAGTAATTTGCAACACCGTTCACAAAATGTACATATCTCTTATATGGTTTATAAATTGTAAGAGATATATGTATAGTCGGATGAAAAATTGACCAAAATAAAAGTTATAGATATTGATGAGTTATACTACTTTGTTGTAGGTGACTTTTTCAGTTGAAATCATTTATTATTAGAAAATATTGTTTGAAACTGTCATAATTTGAAATTCAAATTCAAATTATTGAAACAAAGTCATATGGCAAAATGACCAAAACAAAAGTTGTAGATATTGATAAGTTTTACAGCTTTGTTATTAATAACATTTTTAGTTGAAATCATTTAGTATTTAAAAATATCATTTGAAGTTGTCATAATTTGAAATTCAAATTTTATATAGGTCAATCAAACTCAGATAGAGAAATAACCAAAATAAGATTGGAAGATTTCAATAAGTTATACAACTTTGTTTTTGATAACTTTTTCACATAAGTTCATAGTATGATAAAATTCGATTCGAAGGTAATAGGCCTTTTGCTCCTCCCTCGCCAAAAAGTCCATTCTGCATCCCTTCTTTCAATTAATTTCAAAATATTAAACCTTCGAATCGAGTTTTATCATACTAAATGAACTTATGTGAAAAAGTTATCAAAAACAAAGTTGTATAACTTGAGATCTACCAATCTTATTTTGGTTATTTCTCCATCTGAGTTTAATTGATCTATATAAAATTTGAATTTCAAATTATAACAACTTCAAACAACATTTTCAAATAATAAACAATTTCAACAAAAAAGTCATCAACAACAAAATTGTATAAACCATCAATATTTACAACTTTTGTTTTGGTAATTTTGCTATATGACTTTGTTTTAATAATTTGAATTTGAATTTCAAATTATGACAACTTCAAACAACATTTTCAAATACTAAATGATTTTAAATGGAAAAGTCATCAACAACAAAGTTGTATAACTCATCAATATCTATAACTTTAGTATTTGTCATTTTTCTATATGACTTTGTTTGAATAGTTGAATTCGAATTTCAAATTATGACAACTTCAAATAACATTTTCAAAAACTAAATGATTTCAACTGAAAAAGTCATCAATATCAAAGTTGTATAACTTATCAATATATATAACTTTTATTTGGGTCATTTCTTCATCCGATAAAACGATTTATAATATTGTTTACAAAATATACATATCTCTTATATAGTTTATAAACTATAAGAGAGATATGTAAATTTTGTGAACATTGTTATTATTACTTTGTCGGATGAAAAAATGACCAAAACAAAATTGTAGATATTGATAAGTTATACAACTTTTTTGTTGATGACTTTTTCAGTTGAAATCATTTAGTATTTAAAAATATTATTTGAAGCTGTTATAATTTGAAATTCAAATTTTATATAGCTCAATCAAACTCATAGGGCCTTTTGCTCCTCCCTCACCGAGAAGTCCATTTTGCCTCCCTCCTTTCAATTAATTTGAAAATATTAAACCTTCGAATCAAATTTTATCATAGTAAATAAACTTATGTGGAAAAGTTGTCAAAAACAAAGTTGTATAACTTATTGAGATCTACCTATCTTATTTTGGTTATTTCTCCATATGAGTTTGATTGACCTATATAAAATTTGAATTTCAAATTATGACAACTTCAAATAACATTTTTAAATAATAAATGATTTCAACTAAAAAAGTCATCAACAACAAAATTGTATATATCATCAATATCTACAACTTTTGTTTTGGCCATTTTGCTATATGACTCTGTTTCAATAATTTGAATTTGAATTTCAAATTATGATAACTTTAAACAGCATTTTCAAATAATAAATGATTTCAACTGAAAAAGTCATCAACAACAAAGTTATATAACTAATCAGGATCTACAACTTTTGTTTTGTTCATTTTTCTATATGATTCTGTTTCAATAATTTGAAATTGAATTTTAAATTATAACAACTTCAAACAACATTTTCAAATATTAAATGATTTCAACTGAAAAAGTCATCAACAACAAAGTTATATAAATCATCAATATCTATAACTTTTGTTTTGGTCATTTTGCTATATGACTCTGTTTCAATAATTTGAATTTGAATTTCAAATTATGACAACTTCCAATAATATTTTCAAATACTAAATGATTTCAACTGAAAAAGTCATCAACAACAAAGTTGTATAAATCATCGATATCTACAACTTTTGTTTTGGTCATTTTATTATATGACTCTGTTTCAATAATTTGGATTTGAATTTCAAATTATGACAAGATCAAACAACATTTTTAAATACTAAATGATTTCAACTGAAAAAGTCATCAACATCAAAGTTGTATAACTCATCAATATCTATAACTTCTATTTTGGTCATTTCTTCATCCGATAAAGTGATAGTAACATTGTTCATAGAATTTACATATCTTTTATATGGTTTTGAAGTATTTAAATCGTGACGAAATTGTTATAACATCACAGGTTTTGGGCCTGTTTATGATGAAATCGATAAACTGTCACGTTATTATGGGCCTTGTATACATAGTTGCATATCCGTGACGATCTCTGAAAACATCACGAAAATTTCGTCAAATTTCGTCACAAATTAAATAGATTCTTGTAGTGATTGCAGACCATCATATTTTAAGACATATTAGAATTCATGCAAGTATATATCATCCTATGCTCCTATGAAATATGTATCTATGGAATGTGGGACACTATTCTTTTTGTTGGATATATGATAGTTTCCTTACCAAATGGAAGTCAACTCTGTTCTAATTTAAAATTCACTGTTAATTTGGATTTGAATTTCAAATTATGACAAGATCAAACAACATTTTTAAATACTAAATGATTTCAACTGAAAAAGTCATCAACATCAAAGTTGTATAACTCATCAATATCTATAACTTCTATTTTGGTCATTTCTTTATCCGATAAAGTGATAGTAACATTGTTCATAGAATTTACATATCTTTTATATGGTTTTGAAGTATTTAAATCGTGACGAAATTGTTATAACATCACAGGTTTTGGGCCTGTTTATGATGAAATCGATAAACTGTCACGTTATTATGGGCCTTGTATACATAGTTGCATATCCGTGACGATCTCTGAAAACATCACGAAAATTTCGTCAAATTTCGTCACAGATTAAATAGATTCTTGTAGTGATTGCAGACCATCATATTTTAAGACATATTAGAATTCATGCAAGTATATATCATCCTATGCTCCTATGAAATATGTATCTATGGAATGTGGGACACTATTCTTTTTGTTGGATATATGATAGTTTCCTTACCAAATGGAAGTCAACTCTGTTCTAATTTAAAATTCACTGTTAATTTCTTTCTTTATGAATATCACGTGGTGCTGCGTATATGTATTGGTTACCAATATGTAATAATTATATTGGCAAAAGGTGATATTTGTAGATATACAAAAAGTAAAGCTTAGTTAGGTGACTTCATTGATTCAATAGATAGCTTTTCTTTCCAATGAGGTCATGACTCATGAGGGACATGAATCTATAAATGTCTTGCCAACAGTTTACTTTTGTTGTTATCAGGGCATTCAGTCCTACTGTGCTACACTGCTATGAGTTCTTCTTTTATCGGAGGCTACAAGCCATAACATTTGGGTTTAGATTGTCCATTACCTTATAAGCTATAACAGGATGGATATATCATATATGTAATGTATCATATACATATATATAGGCAACAGCTTGCCCAAATTGTTGTCTAGCATGGTAAAGGTACATTCTTAGAAATGTGCAAATGCCTGGTAATATTTGGTAATATATGTTTTGTACTGAAGGTGATAATCCACATCCTTTTTATATATGTATATGTCAGTAAAATAAATAGTAATACTTCATACCACACCTAATGTACTATTATTTCTTATTTTGCAACTATCTGCCTTTAGCCTTTGCAATTTGTAGATGGACGAGCTCATGAACACAAATGCAAGTATGAACAGTTGGGGAGCCTCATATGTGAGATAACGACTAATCCGGAGGATATGTTTTTTTTTCTTAGTTTTTATTCTTAATGTCCACATTTTGTAGGAGTTCTCCACTAACATGCTCTGCTGTGTGATTCTCAGTTCTATCTTGTGGTCACAACACTAGCTATCAACTACTCACCGCTCTCTTGGCTCCCATATTAGGACCAACACTATTTGTTGACACTTGAACATTTGGTGATATTTATCATGTGCATTGAATGAT